TTAATGGACTTTATTTCTAATGAGGTTACAGATTTGGCAGTCAGGCTCGTATAAAATCCCACTTTTCCAAACGGGGCTCATATTAAATCGAGTCTTCCAAAAAATATACTTCACACATCGTTCAATGCATAACACACCCACATATACACTTGTGCATACACACATGCCCGTGCACACACACCCTCACACACATACACACACACATATATATTTATTTATATATACTCACATGCATATCCACACTCCAACATTCCAAAACAGAACTTCAAGAACGTATGACAAAATTAGAGACAGTCTGATGTAAATATAGCATGGTAATTAATGCATAGAAAAGAAAGATTCTTGTAAACAGACACAATAATCAAGTACCTACCATAAATTTACATAAAAAGGGGAAAAACTAGAAGAATTTGAAACCTTTGAATATCTTGGCTCCCACATATGCAACGATGGCAGCTGTACTAAAGAGATCAAGACATGGCTTGATATGGCAACAGCCGCCATGTCACAGCTGAATGCGATGTGGAAGAGCAAAATCAGCATCACAGTCAAGGTTAATATTTACAAGTCACTGGTATTGTCGTTTTTTTTTTTATGTGAGAGTTGGACTCTCACTGTGGACATGGAAAGGAGGATTGAGGCTTTCGAATGTAAATGTTACAGACGCATTTGACGAAATAGTTTTTTAGAACACAAAACAAATAAATATGTCTGAGACAAAATATACAAATTTGCAGGACATAACGAGCCTCTCTCGGCAATGGTAAATAGTCGCAAGCTTGCTTGGTTTGGGCACGTGATGAGACATGATTCGATTGCAAGACAAGGAACACTGGGGAAAAAAAACAGTGGGGGAGGGGGGGGGGTGGGAAGCATGCAGTCAAAGAAGAGGAGAACAAAGAAGAACCTGGTATGACAACATCAGGAAATGGACAGGATTAAGTTATTATGCACATATTCACCAATCTGAAAACAGTTAAAATATGGCGGGTTTTATGTGCTGGTACTTCCATCAATACATCTCCACTACAATAATGGGTTAAAGCTTATTGTATGTTATTCTGATTTAGGCATATATGCTTTTCACACACATACACACACACCTCAATATATATACAAAACAGCCATATATATATATATATATATATATATATATATATATATATATATATATATATACAGAAATACACAGAAATACACGTTGTATATACACGTGTACCTATGTATGTTTGTATGTCGATATGAGTGGGTGTAAATGTATGAATCAGTGGGTGTGTGTGTACACATACATGTATATACGTGTGTGTATTTATATTAGATAGTTAGTTAGATAGTTAGTTAGTTGGGTTATCCTCATTGCACTCCGGACATGTCCATAGGTGCTCAGATCCTCCCCTCAGTATGAACCTCAACGTCCGATGGCTAATAGTACCAGTTCTATGTTGATTAACAAGTCTTCTGGCGTAGCTGGTGTGCGTCTCGTTTTTTTGCTGTGCCGATCTTAATTCCCAAGTCTGCCATTCTGGCGAGTGATGTGGATTCACTGCCACCAAAGTCGTCTATCCTTCCCATTTCTCTGAGGACATTGATATTATCAGCATGATCCATAGGCTGACCGTCGGTAGTGATAGCGGATCCAGCCAACCTGTCAGCTCTTTCATTTCCATCGACGCCTGCGTGTCCCGGAACAAAAATAAAGGTGACTCCACGGACAGTGGACTTCTGTAATGATTCAAGCCATTGTCTTCGCACTGAACCTGCCTGAACCCTCCGGATCATACTCATTGAATCACTGAGTATACACTGAGTGTATTTATATATGTATATGAATGTGTGTACGTGTGGCGGTGAAAATATATATTTTTTAAATATACATGCGTGTGTGTATTATTAACGTATTTATATTAAATTCGGGATACCTGGGTTCTACTTCCGGTAAGGTGACATAGCTTTTCTGTCAGAGACAAACATTAGGCATTATTACCTGCACAGTCCGTGGCGATTGCACCAGCCATGCGGCTCTAAATCCTTAGCCCCCCCTCCCCCGTCTTCACCGCCTTAAAAAAGTGCTAAAACTAACAGTAGAAGCAGACAGACAGATAGCTGATGTATATTCATGTGCAACAACATAGGAGGCAATGGCTTCTCTAAGTGTGAGCAAAAAAGAATCCTTTTACATAAAAAAAAATATGAGCAAAAAAGAATCCGTTCACCCAAAAAAATTATGTCAAAATGGACGCTAGGCGAGGGCACTGTTTAGAGCCAAGGCAACAATTTTTTGCTTCTGCCGGACGGTGGCTGGTGCAGTTTTGCTCCATTTGTAGTTTGGATACAGTTTTGTCGCCCAGCCTTTGAGTTGAATGCATGGCGTGACATTGTGAGCTGCGGATTTCATTTGGAACGTTTTTTCGACTGTAATCAATGTGCTGGTGTACATTGTAGATTCATCAATAGGTGCGATTTCTGTCGTCACAATGTTGGTGGTGCCCGTATGTGTTTAAAATTGATCGCGTGGGCAACTGCTGATCTGTTGGTGACTTCTGCTACCATCAATAATGAACTGCATTTCTAATGTCAGACTGTTTGTGTTTGCCTTTCGGATGGCTACCGTATGCTTTAATGCCAGTGTATGCTAGATCTGCTGAAACAACAGTCTGTCAGTCTTTCCACACGGACTGTGATAAAAATGTGTGTTTTTCGTTGGCACAGGAGCGGAGCAAAGATGGGGTGACCCGTTTGCTATGAAGCTGAAACTAAAACTACAAGACCAGAATACTAGACCAGACCTTTCACTTCTACGTTACCGAGTCCATATGTATTTTACATCTTTCATTCTCTTTATCCCTCTCTCTCTCTCTCTCCCTCCCTCTCTCATTCTGAATGTGTGTGTGTGTGTACCCATGTGTATAAGTGTGCATGTATAATTGCGTGTGTATTCATGGCTGTTTATATGTTTTCATGAATATGTAGGAATGTATGTGTATGTATAGCTTCTCTCAATGTGCCCCAGCTATTTCAGTCTCTCAGCCATCATGAGGCAAGTGATCAATGGGGATTTAAACGTAATATTAATTGCTTGTTTAATCTCACTCTCCATTCCCCGTTGTTTGAATCGTTGATAGGTCCAAAGATTCGCCGTAAGACTGTTTTCAAAATTTCTCAGTGCTGTCTACGTATTTATAAGTCATCGGCTCTAAATTTATTTCGTATTGTCAGCTGGCGATCGTTCTTTCATGGAATTCTCTTTGAAATATGTCACAATGGTCAACATTTTCAATTGCGAATATAGAGTTTCTAAGAAAATGCAGCCTGCTGAAAGGAAACACAGCGAGCTAGGTTTGTATCATATTACAGAATAGAAACCTGTATTCGGATACCTGCACGTTTTACTTTTCTGCATCTGTGAGGCTTGGTAGTGGATTATCAGTTGTCCTTTCTGCCAGCGGAGGTCTGCGTCTTCTGGAGCACAGACAGTAGCCGAGAAAGAAGATGAGAGCAACAGCAGAGCACAGGCCAACGATCAATTCCATGCTTTTTCCAGAAGACTGTGAATCTGCAAATGTATGTAAACAACAAGACATGGTAGCACGATGGAGTCAACGTTTATAGAACTTTGTGATCTTCGTATTTGCGATCGCTAGCTGTAAACTCCGACGGAATGTTCTGGTTATTCGTCCACCTCTGGACACTAGTTGTGTTCCAGAAGCTGAATGTTTCGTGCACATCCGTTGAAAAGATCTGACTCATCAGTATGCCGACTGTTGGTTCCTTGTCTCTCAGGCAGATGCACTCTGACTTTCAAAGAAGCTCCAGCTAGTAGTCGTCTCCTACTACATGCTTGTTGATGAGGCACTCGGTATAATATGTTTTCCCTACAGTGGGTGCTCGGAAACCACATGGTGAATTTATAGAACAATCGAAACACTAGTTCAGTACAGTTGTTTCATACACAATTAGAGAGCATAGGTACGTCATTTTAAAGCACACCTACACAGCAGAAGTACTCAGTGTATTCGCACATTTCTGACTGACCATCTTGATAATGTACTCACAAAACTTCGACTGACCATCCTGGTTATTTACTCACACATCACTCATTTGAACATCTTTTTAATGTACTCGCACATCACTGGTTGAACATCATGGTAATGTACTCAGTGTACTCGCACATCTCTGACTGACCATCTTGATAATGTACTCACACATCTCTGACTGACCATCTTGATAATGTACCCGCACATCTCTGACTGACGATCTTGATAATGTACTCGCACATCTCTGACTGACCATCTTGATAATGTACTCACACATCTCTGACTGACCATCTTGATAATGAACCCGCACTTCTCTGACTGACCATCTTGATAATGTACTCGCACATCTCTGACTGACCATCTTAATAATGTACTCGCACATCTCTGATTGACCATATTGATAATGTACTCACACAACTCTGACTGACCATCTTGTTAATGTACTCATACATCACTGATTTAACATTGAATAATTGTACTCACACATCTCTGAATGAACATCTTTTGTTAATGTACTTAGTGTATTCTCACATCTCTGACTGACCGTTTTATCACTGCACTTGAATATATTTGATTTACTATCGACTTTAGCTATTCACACACCTCTGACTGACCATGAGTGCAATCCTATTCTTCAAGTCTGCCGACAGTATACTTTCGTGGGGACCATGATAGACCCACTAACTCCATAACAAGCGGGTTTTAACAAATTACAAATTATCTCTTCTCTGAAATAGGATATGCTGGAAGACATTCAGAAAAAAAAAATTGATCATGTGAGATCTATAACAATATTCGAGGAGGCTTTTTGATAGAAATTATGATGACGATGGCGATGATGATAGCGTTTATAATGACGATGATTAGGATTGTAATTTAAGCTCACGTATTACAGAGCACTCGCAATCTGGTCATAAGATATATAAAGATTGTGCAAACAGAAATATTAAGACAGAGAACACATACTATTCTCACAGTACTGTCCGGCAAATCCACTCTTGCATCCTTGGACACAGACGCCAGTCTCTGGGTTACACATGGACTTGTTAGCGGACGACTCACAGTTCTTGCTGCATGAGGAACTGCAGCCGTGACCGAAAGTTCCAGCAGCGCATACTGAAATTAGCATAGAGGCAAATAAAGTACAGAGATACATAAGTGTGTGATGGTAGAGAAAACACAGGCAGTGGCTACAGACGGTACCAGAATGTCTGTTGTGTCTTGCGTGTCCATTTGTCTGAAATGTCCATTGTGAATTACTTGCCCATTGTTTCTTACATACACACTATCATACCCACTGTGTTATACTTGGCCATATTGTTCAACATGTGTCTTACATGCCCATTGTGTCTTACATGCCCATTGTGTCTTACATGTTCATCGTATCTTACATGTCCATTGTATCCTACATTCCTACTGTGTCTTAACTGTCCTTTGTTTTCTGTATGTCCATTATGTTCCTTATGCCTGATGTATTGTACATGTCTTTTGTGTCTTAGATGTTTACTGCCTTTCGTTGGAATAATTGTGTCTACCATTTCTCACTATCTGATGATCGACATATGCCTCTTGTATAAGACGTCATTTTTAATAAAATCTAAGTCTAGGAATATCCGTGTTGACAGCCGTGAGTTATATCCTCTATTGTAAAATTGTCAAAGTTCAGTAGTAAAAATGTTCATGACATCACAAGTTAACAAGGACAACGCCCTACATACCGCTGTTACATGCTGGTCCAATGTAGCCATTCTTGCAGCCCTTGGTACACGTGCCATTAACGTAGTTACATAAAGGTATCTTTGCGTCGTCGGTCGGCTCACAGTTCTCGCCACACACAGAATCACAATTTTTCCCAAACGTCCCTGAACCACATTCTGCAATGTTCCGAGTTACACAACCTCAGTACCTAAACATAGATCTAACATAGACAAATATCACCACAATCATCGCATCAGAGCGATTGTGTGCACCACAATCCGTCTGACGTTTCGATTCTTCACTAGTTCACTAGAAATGTTAACAATCGATTGTTTCTTGAGTGCTCACCCTCGATAATAAGAAAAATCCACAGGGGAGCATGTACAGAGGGAGTCCACTGATCATCAGTAGATAATTCCTTGTCGACAATTGTTTCGGCCTATTACCTCCGAGACAGTTTCACAGGGTGAGCCGACCTGGCTCGTGGCGCCAGGCCTCGATCTTCTCCTGCTGCACTTATTCGGACTCTCTAATACGGACAAGACGAAATAGTGACTATGTAACGGATACTGTGAGATTTGAAGTTAAATATATATCTATTGTCCCCGTGGTAGCCATTTTGAGCAGCCGGCTACCTTACAGATCAAGTGACAAGCTTACTCATGTTAGAATTTGGCAATTAGCAGAGGGACACTGGCAGACATCTATCGGACATTTAGACTTTTAAGGGATAAAAAGCTCTGTTTCACTAGGGTCTCGAGCCAGTCTTCCAAGGCCAACCCCTAACGCTCCATTGCGTCCAGAGCCAGCTCCAAGCTCTTTCAGCAGCTTCGCCCAGTTGTTATAGTGACCGTTTACGCTCGTTTTATTGCAAGCCTAGCTGCTTTAGCACATTGTACTGGATGTGAAGATAAAGCCTCTCACGCCTTCCCTCAGCAGCGAAGATTTTTACTGTGTACGCTTTGTCTTTCCTCAGACCGGCAACAGATCCCCATATATTTCGAGCTTGTACATGTGGTTTTCGTGCATTCAAGAATCACACGGCATGGTCAGCTTAATTAAAATGAGCTGGCTTTTTTCTTCAGTGGAGGACTATGTCAGGTCTCAGGCCGGTCTTCCGGATTGACTCTAGGTACCCCTCGAAACTAGGTAGGTGGAAATCAAGTAACCAGTCCGTTGCACAGTAAAGTATTGATGGAGCGTATGCGACTTTGTTGATATTAGGCTTATAAATCTGCCCAGCCTTGAGGAAGCGCATAGGGTTGAGGGTACGACTAGCCTTCGCGTCGGCCCTCATCCTGGCTTGGTCTACAACGTACGCTAACTCTTTCAGGACTTAGTTGTGGCACCAAGTTATCTTCCCTGGCCGAGAGCCTTTCTGCACGCGGACAATACGTGTACGAGCGTCTGCTTTTATCTGCATAGTCGACATATCGGGTGGAAGTCGTATGCCATTTCACCATGTTGATCCCAGACAGTAACACATCGTACGCAGATCTCACCCCATGCCAGCCTTGCTGCGACTGTTGTGCGACTTTTTTGGACCTGAGTCTTGTTTTCGGCCTTCCTTATGTGCTGTACTAACATATTTCTGCGCTCTGTGGCCGTGGCTTTGGACCACCAACTGACTTTCTGGTACCCTAGGCCGCGACGGTCGTTTTGTGTGTAACCCATGACTTCTGCTGTTTTTTTTTTTCAATGCATCTTGGGCAGATTCTATCGCATCTAGGTCTTTCCATTTCTTACCAGTCTTTAGAGCGGGCTTGCCAGCTGCCACTGTTTGATCTAAAGACTCGCGCAGCATCATCGAAAATCTTACTTTGCTGACTATAAACTCTTCGGTTATTGACTCGAACGGTATTACCAGCTTGGCCTGTTTACAATACATCGTCACATCGGTCCGCATGGCGGTACCCCTAGCCACTTCCTCATGGCTATGTTGATTTTTTTTTCTCTATCGATTTCACTGCAGTCATTGTCACTGTGTGAACAAGCAGCGACCAGCGGAGCTTTGGAATTCATATGAACTTGAGACCCAGACCCTAAACTTTCATATCAACATGCTTCTTCTTCTTCTTCTTCTTCTGCTGCTGCTTCTTCTTCTGCTGCTGCTTCTTCTGCTGCTGCTGCTTCTTCCTCTGCTGCTGCTGCTTCTTCTTCTTCTTCTTCTTCTTCGTCTGCTTCTGCGTCTTCTTCGTCTTCCTCTTCTTCTTCTTCTTCTTCTTCTTGGTATATAAGAGCACAACTAAGTCCATCTTAATGTACTAGGCCGGAGAAACCCTAAGTACTAAAAAAAAGGAAAGAGGAAATAGATAGTTCGTTTAGGTGGGGGCTAGAAACAATAATATTCTAGTCCAGGCATTAGATCTTCTGTGTAGAGTCTAATAAGTCAGGTAATAATAAACTAAACTAGAAAACCACTAAGCACACTAACTACTAGAAGTCCTAAGCTGAAGGAAACAACTGTAACTATGAATACAACGTTGAACATAATTTTATTGAACTTCACATCAGCATGGCCAAAAGTAACGACATAAACGACCACGTGCTGGAACAAAACCTCAAACATACAGCAATCTACTATCTAACTAGTTCTTGTCCAGAATACAAGTGATAATTATTATTGAATCTAACCAAAGGAACGTACCATACCGAGCCGATCCAATCTAGCGACGCCCAGCCATTCGATCTGACACACCTGTACATTTTGTACGTTGCGACCAAGTGCAGTCGACAACGACAACAGGGCGTTTTGACCGTAACAAGCCGAAGCGGCCACCAGATAGGAGAAGGGCCAAATAAATCAGTCGGCCGTTTAAATACCTCGTGGGCTGATTTTTTCCCATCTTTCGGTCAACTCTATTAGTTAGTTCCGGTGGCCTTTTTGCCGGTTGGCGTTTTCAAACCAGGATAAACCTTCAAAGACCTTTAATCTGTTGTACTGTAGTCTTCGTCGCTTCCACCCTATTACATTAATGTCTACCTTCCCGTGTTGGTTTCAGGTTTCCTTCGTGAAACAAGACACTCTGCCCGGGAAATAGCATGTCCAAGAAGTGACTTATTGCCGTTTTTCTTTGGAGTATATCTGCCTGAGAGGTGAGTAACAACAGTCTGCAAAGTCACTTATGTAAACCAATTATGTAAACCAATATAAACACAACACTCAAGTTCTGAAGCAAACCTAAAGTTCAGAAATGGACAAAAAAACAACTTTCCGCCAGGGTTTAAAGTCTATGAACGGAAAGAAGATGAAGAAGATGATGGTCATTTCCACCGCGTTAGTAATTTATTGAAGATTTAAACAACAAATATAGTGAAAACTGTAAGGGGTGGGGGTGAGGGGGTGGGGTATTGTGTGTCTAGAAAAATTGCAATATGTCTTGCTGGTAATGTAAAAACGTTGGTTTGCAAGAGTTCATATAGTATTGTAAGCAACAATAAACTATTATTGGCTGAATACTACCATTAAAGTATAAATTAGAGAGCATGCATGCTTTCTGAAGCAAAATGACTATGTGAGTTGAGTGCTTGGTACAACACTGTGAGCTGTGGATTTCATGTAAAATGCTAATTTGTTTTATGCATGTGGTGTTGTTGCGATTTAAACAGAAAGTAAAAAACGGGTAGTCAATTATGTTCCGAGTGAAGTGTATTTAGGCAGCAGCGTGTGCATACTGCCCGCTTTAGTGATTTACGGTTTGCATCAACTGTGAGCTGCAGTTATGGTGGAAGAGTGTTTGTGGTGGAACATTTGACTGCTGCCTTATGCAATTACATTGGGTGTGTGAGCTTCAGGACTTTGACGTTACTGATAATTTTTTTTATTTTTTTCCGGGGGGGGGGGGGGGGGGGGGGGGGGGGGGGGGGATTTCTGCTTCCAGGAACGAAGCAGTTTTTCAGGTAGCTAGCTGTTGTGGTGTTGGAACCTCGGCTATGGATTAACATAACACTCGAAGGTCATTTAAGGTAGAGATAAGTCGCATTTACTTGTCTCTTGGTCTGAAGTAAAGCTCTTTACATCGACGTATATTTTGATACTTTCAATCACTAGTCGTCATCAGGGTTCCTTGCTAGTGCACAGACATGGTCTCATTATGATACTCAAAGACTCATTAACTGGGAGTGATCTGACCACATAAATTGTGCGAAACTCACCTTAAAGACGTTAGTTTAGTCTTCTTTTAGATCGAAAATTCGTGGATTTAGGTCAAAAACGACCTTGGCTCCAATGTCGACCCAGCCTTGAGTGGTTACCAGATGCAGTCCTAGAAAGTAAAGGCTGCCGGCCTGATGCTAAAATATGACCCTCCAAGTGTCGATCGGTCTATGAAAAAATATGGTCTAGCTAGGACGCCTCAAGTTGTGGAAAAAAGGTCCCTTTTAGTCGTTTTATTTGACAAATTTTCCCTTTGCTAGAAACTACACAGGAAAGCACTCACTGGTCCTACAATACAACACCTACCAGTTTCACAAAGCGCTCCGGTGAAGCCAGGCTTACAGCCTTTGAGACAAGCACCAGTGGAGAAGTTACATGATGTCAATGAAGAGTTGTCTGGTTGCTCACAGTTCAAGCTGCACGTATTATTACAGTTCTTACCGAACTTTCCTAGACTACATTCTGAAATGTGATATAATTAGACAATTGACAAGAACTGATCGGCACTCATGGAAAGAGGTTAGGAAACAACAGGACACACTACTGAGCAAAACAAATCGAAAGCTACGCATGTCATGTCTGAAAGCCAAACTGCCACCTACACATGACAACGGTGCCTTGTTGTAGAAGCAAGTTTACTAATGCGAATGACAGCTTGATGCCCAGTAAACGGTGTCATAGTAAGCCAGGTATATCATACAGCTTGAATCCACAACTATGGAATACGTAAAAATAAAAATGTATAGGTCCCTTTTTCACGCTCTTAGGTGCTTTGGGAATATTGGACTTAACCTATATTTGTTTAGACCAACCGGCATTTAGCGGGTGATGTGGTCAGTATCTCGCAGGCCACCATGACTTCACAGGACTGCACCTGGTACCCATTCAAGGTTTGGTCGACCGGGGAGTCAAAGTCATGTTTGAAAAATATGTCCAGCTCCGCCAGGACCCGAACCTACGGTCTTCAGATCCACAAGCGGGCATCTAGCCGTGAACGCCACGGCAACTCCTTTGGAATACGTACACCGTTTATTTTGAGCCATTGAAATAACACCATATGTTACAGAAATTTGTATTAAACAAGCAAATGGCGAATAACAATTAAAAACAACAGAACACTGATGCTCTGTCTGGCATGCAAGTTATACCCCAGCAATCAAGAAATCATCTTCGCCATGTTACATTGACATTAGGGCGCTTTCACACTTCCATACTCGCAGCGTACTACCCACTATACCATTTTTGTGTAGCCGTCCCAGGCGTTCTAATTATAACATTCATAATTGTTGAACAGGGTATCTGGCATAGCCAATGCTGGACTGCTATTCTTCAACCCGGATGGGGTGATAAAATCATCAGCTAAAAGACAAGAGGCAACTAGTGTGTCTGGCAGGCTCACTACACTCATAGGGAAGGCAAGACAGGCATGCAACCAGATTGTGACCGGTTCCATCAGTACTGGAAATCTGCGCTGGCTGCTGAAGAGGCGGATGGAGCAGGCAGGGGGAACGCCTCGAGTGCTGTGATGTCCACTCTTGACTCAACCCAACTCAACGCAACCAGGAGACTGGAGGCGGAAAACAGACAGACGTAGTAACCCAATGAACAGTTCTCTTTACCCCTAGATAAATGTAGGCTACATCATTGCTTATTAGAGATGGCGGTAAGGGTTGCTGTAATAATAACTTTCCTAGAGGTTGACCAAGGTATCGAGGATTTTTTCTAGCCGACTTGTAATGAACGAGGCCGTTCTTGACTTCTTCTTATTCGTGATTAGTACTCAGGGAAGAAGTCCTCGACGGAAAATGTTTCCATCTTTTTAGTAACAAAACCTGCATGTAGTATCTTGTCCGTGATTAGATGACTATACATGGAGGGAGCAAAGATCGGCTGTGTGTTCTTTCTAATGCTGTTTTTTTTTCACTTATGGTTATTCTCTTTCCATCATGCCAACTAGTGTTTCTCTTTTTTTTTCCCGCTGTATTCCCTATACTATGTCATCACACTATTTCTTGAAAGTCGTCCTTTTGTGATAGTCAGTAACAAGGATGTTTTTAGTCAGATGGTGAAGCAACTTCATCTCTTGAACTTTAGCGAAGGGTGTGAATTAGACGCATTGCAAAATCGGTCTGCCATATTGCAAGTCCTTGTCATCCACAATCAGTATTTCATTTTATTGTAATTAAAAAAAAAAAAAAAAAGATAATATAACACTTAACATATTTACAATCAACACGTGTTTGTCAGGACCTACCGGTGTCACAGGCATGTCCCATGTAGCCAGCGGGACATCCAGTAGGACACATTCCAGTGCTCACAAAACAGGGTTCATTGCCGAAACAATTACACTTAAGCTCACATTCACGTCCATAGTGCTGGTAGTCACAGATGGAGTCTGTAGGCAGAGTGGAGAATTGCACTGTCACAAGGCAAGGTAGGTTGTAGGGTAGTGGTGTAGAGAAGGTGGTGGATTTGTGTGATTTGTGTATGTGCTGATGAAGACTCTATAGGCGTTAGGTTCACGTTTTATGTGTGTTTGTTAAATTGTGAAGTTCGCTTATCTATTCTTCTTTTGGTACTGAAATCGTTCCATGATAACAGTATTGGTCTAATATACCATGCGCATATAGCGGCGAATTTCTGGAATTATCCCAATTAGCCGAGAATTTAGTGCCAGGGGATTAAGAGGGAAAAACAAGGAAATGAAGCGATGCTAGGAAGGAACATTAGGGCAACAAATCTAAAAAGAAAAAGCACGTATCTTCCTTTGGCGACTGAGGTAGGAGTTGTGGAGTAGCCAACAAAGGATCCACGATGACGTCTGTTATGATTTAAGCTGATGTGTATTTTGTGCATAATTAATTTTTAGGTTGTGGTGTTTCTTTGCTAGAATAACAAATCGTTAGTTTCGACAGCATCCCCAAATGTTATAACTGTGACTAGGTTTTATGTGCCTGATAAAATCGCTTAGCATTGCACGTCACCGTGAGCGATGAAAAACAAAAGATTCCTGCAGTGTTCATGCGATCAAAGGAGATAGACCCAAATACTCTCCAGACCGGTAACCCGATAGGCTCATTGTGGGTACTTGCCACACCAAGACTTCATGCGAGCTATAAACACTAAGTGACACAAAAGTGCACCATGCGGATGATGACCACCCGTAGAGAGGTCTCAAAAACCCTTTCAACCGTTTGTACCATATCTATGCCATATCTATGGCTCTGTTATATTTAGGGCCCCCAGCAGAAGCCAGGGTGGGGCTTTACATAACAAAAAATTGTATCCCACAAGAGGTCCACAGTTCACACATATATTTATTAATGTTATTAATTAAATTAGACTAACATCTGTTTTAAAATTTTTAAATCGTAAAGTAAAGGACATTGCTTGTGATTTCTACTGGCAAAAGTAAAGGATCCGTTATGGGCAACCTGTCTGCAGTACAGTGGAACCTCGACAAACAAATAAGGACTAAGGACAACTGACTGATTACTATACTGTCTCATATATATATATATATATATATATATATATATATATATATATATATATATATATATATATATATATATATGTGTGTGTGTGTGTGTGTGTGTGTGTGTGTGTGTGTATTCTTAAAAGTTAAAAATGAAATAGACAAACAGGCGAAACGAGTGGTGAGTTAGACATTTTAAAGCGGCAAACAGGGTAAGTTTCGACAGGCGAAATGCCTGATGCAGTACTATTACGCGTGTGTGGCTAGGCTATCATAACTGACTACTTAGATCAACAACACATTTCAGTTCCGGTGGTGACTGTTGGTAATGGCGAACATATCAACTGCCTTATGCAATTACTATGTGTGCATGTTTCTCTTTTATGCAGGGACAATTGTTTGTATGCCAGTATACAGATACGACAGTGACACATAAAAAAAAGAAAAGGACTCTTTTGCACGCCTTTTCTTGCGTATTGGGTATATAGGACTAGATCTATATTTTATAGACTAACGGATCAGAATGGGTGATGTGGTCATCATCACGCCAGCCGCCTTTACTTCCCAGGACTGAACCTGGTACCCACTCAAATCTTGGTCGACATGGGAGGCAAAGTCATTTTTGAACAAAGTTTCGCTCCTCCAGGGAGCGAAACCCCGACCTTCTGATCCGCAATCGAGCGTCTAGCCACTACGCCACGGCGACTTCCTGACACATTATTTGACCAGTTACAATATTACCCGTTAGCGGTGACGTTGAAACATAGACGACATTAATAAAAACAACAATAACACCATTAACAACAATAAAATAACTTTTACCGCTACCAGTTTTTCTTCTGCCGTCTGTCACTCAATAAGGAAAAGGCCCGCAACCAACTCACGCCTTGTCATTTATTCCTTCGCTATCACATGCAGCTCTCCCCATGTCCTCCTATCTTTTCAACTGCACTTTCCAGCTCCCTTTTCCGTGTGTTTTTTATCTTCCCTTATTGTTATACCCATGCGGGTTCCAGTGCAAAGACATTCTAGTTATACTGTTTTCAGATGTTCTCAAGGTATGTTCTGTCAAACGCTAGATACTTCTCTTTGCCTCTCAGTATATTGGAAAATGTTTATTTCTCTCCTAAAGCTCTATATTAGTCATAGTAGGATAAAACTTAATATCCTGGTGGGGGTTGAAAGTCAGTCAGTCAATCAGTACTGACCCATGTTATTAAAGGTTATTAAATAAAAGATGAAGGAGCTGCATCAGGACATGTTTGCAGGATGCCTAGCTTCCTCTATCTCTTCCTCTTCCTTACAATCTCCCGCTGCATCTTATTCTTCTTGTTTCTTCTTTGTCATCTTTCTCTGTCTCTTCTTCTTCTTTTTTATCTTCTCCCATTCGTGTCTTCTGTTTGCAAGTGTGTGAGAGAGTGTGTGTGTGTGACTAAGTAAGTGAGTGTGTGTGTCATATATGTATATATATATGTGTGTGTGTGTGTGTTGTGGACTCATTACCTCCGTAAACTTCCACCTCACACAAAGTCAATGTCTTGTCCGTGTGGTTGCTTCGGATAATCACTGTCGACACCGGAAAGGGCTTGTGATCGATCGTGTATATTTGTTTGGCGACCAGACTGCTGTCTTGGTAGAAGAACAGCGAACGGTTCTGCGAGTCAAAGCTCTGCATGGAAAATCGAAGCAGCCGATCCATCTTACCTTTAAGAGAAGAATGCAATATATTTACGCATGTGTTTATTTCTTAGTGTCTTCTTCTTCATCGTCCGTCAAAAGGACATAAATGCGTTGCGCCTATTTACAGTAAATCTGCCATTTGACTTCATGGGACATGTGTTATCAGGCTTGCTGGTTAGCTTCGTAGGTGTTTGTATCCTTATATGTGTGGTGACTTTGTCAACCACTAATCTACAGGTGTTGTCCCTAGAGTACCCGTTTAGGGCCTGCGAGTGCAAACGGGTCTACACTCAATGAAAGTTAGGGACTTATAGTATCGGCGCTCTCCGCCTTCCATGATCCTCTTCTTCTTTAGCGATTCGAGCCCTGGAGGTTCATTGCTGCAGATGTCACCCTCCTCCACTCACCTCTGTTGTTGGCCTTTTCTTTGCAGTTGGTGACACCAAGTGTTTACATGTCTATCTGGACATTATCTCTCCATCGTCTTCTTGGTCGGCCTCGTGGTCTACGATTATTCAGCTCTCTTGTGTAAACAGTTCTTACCTCTCAATTATTTGACATTTTCGAAAGATGACCTAGCCATTTTAGTCATTTAGCTCTCATGATGCCAGTGGTCAATAGTGATTTAAACAGATTATGACTTTGGTTGTTGCTTCTTCAACTCCATTCCCACCTGTTTTCATCTCTGATTCGTAATACTCTGTTCTCGAACAATTATAACGAGGCTTCATCTCTTTCAGCTGTGCTCCAGTATTCAGAGCCATATAAAACGATTGTTTAAAACAAAGTTTTATACATTTTTCTATTTTGTATATATTCCTTAAAATCCAAGATGGCTTCCATAAATGCAGAGCTGAAGCCAAGGTCCCGCAGATGAGTGTGTAACCTCTCATCCACACGTTCTTCCTCTGCCTGCCTCCGTTCATTACAGCCTGTACATTTTACAGATCTCTATGAAGCCTTTTTTCACGCAGGAGTCTGATTCCCTGCTTTAGGGTCATCCCACGACCTCAGCGTGTTAGACATCTCACGTTCACCTGAGTGTCCCTAGGCCCCAGCCACTTTGCGGCACTCTTGTTAAGTACGCTGTAACCATGGCTACCATGTAGATCATTACACTTGACGAATAAAGCCATTGAAAGCGTGTCTTCGAACCTACTGGGTCATAATGTGGGATCTGCTGTCGGAAAAGGGGAGAAGGGTCTCTGTGGTGGAGTGGTCAAGCTATTTGTCTCGGCGCCTTGAATGACGTGGGTTCGTTTCTAGGCTGTGTCGTTGGGTTCACGGGTGAAGTGTTCGTGAAGAAGACCACCCTCTCAGCTTTACCTTTAACTTAAAAGTAGGCGAGTGAGCTAAGGGCATCTAGATCTTTGCTGCCAAAAATTCAGGATCCTGGATAGACAGACATTTTAACCTGAGCAGCCAATCAGCAGAAGTCTCTGGCAACAGATTTTTGAATCAGCGCTGTAATATAGTAAAACTTGCGGATAACATACAATTAAACATGAGTGTGTCATTTAAAAGACAACTCGACCAGTGTAATTTAGGTATGTTTAAAATGGGTTTTTAATGTACATTATCATTTATACATAAGGGAGTGGGCTGACGAGCTCTAGGAAAATTCAGTGCACTGCATATCTGTGGGCAACAAACTGCAAGATCCCTGTTAGCTCGTTTTTTGTCCTATATATGCTGTGAAACACGACTAGGACATGTGGTAGGAGTTTTGAGTGAGAATCCTTAACACCAGCTTAGAGCCTTTTGGTACCCGAGATGAAATACGCAGTATCTCATTATAAATACCACTCCGGCCTTAATTTTGTTTCACGCCTATAAGTGAAATGAAAAAAGGAATATTTTTTTTTTAACCACTCATCTAATTAATCTCAGCTGTTTGAAGTTTTAAGTGTGAATTGATCAACATCATGGGTACCCATGGACGCTCCGTTCTTCTTCTAACTCAAGTTTGTCCGAAGAAGCTCAGCATAGTGCATAGGCTCTGTAGCACCGGCGAGGAATCCTGAAATACTTTGGGTAGATTCTATAATCTAAATTTTGTTCGAGCACTGCCGTTATGCTACTCTTTTCGATTTTCAACCGCCATAGAATTTCTTACGTGAGCAACAATGCACACGGGCGTCCGATCTCACTAATAGGGGGAATTACTAGAAGTACAAGTCCACGTGAAAAAATCTCAGCCCTCACTGGAGATTGAACCCGGAACCTCTAGCACTCGAGGCGGACACCATCCCACGAGAGCACGCAGCCCCTATTGTACTCAGCGGCCGCGACCACGTGCTTCTTTTTTGACTGCTTCGCTGTGTCTGTTCTTGTCATTACAACTGCATAGGCGTGCTTCGCCAGTATTCGCTTAGTTAAAGTAATGTAAAATAAAGCACTTTTCCCACGCCTTCAGGCGTAATGGGCTTGCAGGGATAGACCAATATGTTATAGACCAAGCCGCAATGGGTGGGTGATGTGGTCAACATCACGCCGGCTACCTCTACTTCCCAGAACTCCACCTTAACCTTTTAAAATATGAGTCGACTTAAGAGCCAAAATCATTCGAGAAAAAAAAATCCGGTACCGCCAGGACCCGAACCCACGATCTTCCGATCCGCAGTTAAGCGTCTAGCAGCTACACCACGGCGACTCCCGTAGGATTATCTGTGTCGTCATATAATCATGGTAGCGTCAGAGACTCTGTTACCTACAAATCTAGACCTAACATTGTTGAATAATCAGCACTACCAATGCATCTTTCTGTCTAAATTATTATATAAAGTTCTTCCCAGCTGATATATATATATATATATATATATATATATATATATATATATATATACACACACACACACATACTCAGAATTCAGTGGTTTAGATTATCATCATAAAAACGTGAGTAGACATTAAAAGCATATTCATTAAAATACATGAAACCTTTGATGTAAAATGTTAAACACAATATGGGATCGTTCAGGGAGCAGTGTTGCGTATTTGATCAGAAGTGAACTGAAAAGTACTGAACTGAGGGGAACTAAACTGAAATGGATATAATCGAACTGAACAGAACTAAACCGAAAAAAAAAAAAGATAACTGTGTCGAACTGAATTAAACGGAACTATACTTCCAGAAATGAATACAGTGGAATTTAACCTAAGGGAAACGAACTAAATGAAACTGAACTCGATTAGTCCTAATTCATTGGAACTGAACTTATCTGAGCTGAAATGAATGAAACTGAATTACGTGTCATCAAGAATACATACACATCTCGTAAACCATCCATAATCAAACACGCCAGCAGATACTTACTATCAGATCTGTTGTAGATGATGTATCTGTGCACGCAGCGTGGCTGTGGCATAATCAAAGTCCACGTGGGAGTTTGGAAGGTACTGGAGCAGGCCTTTGTGCTAAAGATTTGCCGGATATCACCGTCCACTGCTAGGTCAGCTGTGAAATTGAACCGCACTCGGCCACGGTCTTCATAATATGTCATGTTTTGTAGTGCAGTCTCCTTCAGCGCCACATTGCGACCTGCCAGTGAATAAACTCAACCAACTAAACTAAAGTACTCTGTGGATGTAACTGCACTCAGGACCATTCCCCAAACAGACTCCGTATCATTCCCCTAGTAGTCATCGATTTGTCTGCGTGTTTAATAACAGCGCTGATTGAAAGTCAGTTTCATTTTCGCCCCAGTATGATACCGTCTAGAAGCCACCTCCCCCCCCCCCCCCCCCTTTTTTTTTCAAATTTTTTCCCCACTGAATTATTCTGGTTTAACAATGTGAATTCTCTATCTTCAATAAGTCCGCTTCTCTTGAAGTAGCTCACCCTTCAGAGCAGCAGCAAATCCATCACCCTGTTCATAATCCCTTACACAACTTGCCAATAGTTGTCGAATATTACTCACATATTAACTGAAATAACTTAGGATTGTAGTAATTAATCTCTAGAACTTAATGATTGCCTTTTATCATTCACCACCCCTTTGCGCTGGTGCCTTGTCGTGGTGGGATGGGGCAGATGGAGAAATTCTTCTCCTAGCAGATTTAACCATGTCTGAAAGGCCCTGAGAAGAAAGACTAGACTAAACTAGCAACCCGATACTAAGGGTTGCGGTTGGGTTAAAGGTTGGGACCTCTTGGTTGGTCATGATCTTTGCACACTCATTTCCATAGGGACGCACAGACGCCATTTGGAGGTGACAGGTACAATTCCTGCTAACTATAACTGTCGAGTTGTATGTTGTCTAGTATGTTCTTCTATCTTTCTACATCTTTCTACGAGTGTCGATGAATACATTTTCTATTTGTTTATTATATATTGGTAGCTCGAGAAGGTTGCTTAGCCCTATCTTACGGCGTGTGATATACGAGTCAAAACTGATTGTAATTTACCTCCGCTGATGTAGACCGAGCACAGACTGCTGACGGCTGCACCTGTCCCAGGTCACACACGGTTGAAACTGTTTGTTTGCTATGTTACAGTGAAAGTCTAAGGACCTTTCGTCTATAGCTTGTTTCTTTAGGTTAGAACACTCGACTTCCACCGTGAAGAGGGCGAAGGTCAGTGAAATATTCCAAATGGCAGCCGATCCTGGAGGGACATTTGTAACGTGAAGATCAGCTATGTCCAATCGTAAACAATTTGTAAATGTTTGTTACATTAACATAAGTTATATCAAGCATACGTTGAGAATAGGCTTCCCCATTTTACGCTACCAGTTCCAAGTGTGTCACGAGACGATCTCAGTGATTCCAGAAGTTAGTACTTGTAATAAGTTCTTCTGGTTCTAAAGAGACAGAATTATATTTACTCTGCGCTTTATCCTAATATTGCTTTAAACCGCACGGATTTAAATTGTTACCTACACAGTCCTTCTTCGAGACAAGCACTGCGCTTTGTTTAAATTACCCATACACTACGTAATATAGCCCGCTGGTTCAGCACGTAGGATGTTAGATTGCATT